TACCCCCCAGGCCTCCGTTGCTATCCCACCCGCTACTCGGGAAACAGAAGGAAATCGCACTCAACACACTTGTGTGTTGGTGCCTTTCCTTCTGTTTCTCCTAGCTATTGCTAGCTACCCGGGCGGTTTAAGACGAATGTCCCGCTCGCACTCTACTTTCGTTTAACTAAGTGGGCCTCGTAACTACCCTACTTTTCTTTCTTGCCCTCTTAGTCTGCTCTTGTTTCGTTGCTTTTTCTGTCTTTCTAAGGCTTTTTAGGTGTCTACTAGTTCTTCGTTGCGCCAACAATTTGGCGCTTTTTGTACAAATGTTCCCCTGGGAGTTAGGACGCTACTGGAGGCCCCTGGCCTTACTACTACTTTGACCGCGCCGAAACCGGCTCTGTGTGTGTGTCCACCCCTGGAAAAGGTTTTCGTCCACTGGTTCAACGGTAGGGGGTGTCTTGAAAAAGCGCCGAAGCCGGCGACTTGTGTGTGTCCACCCCTGGACAAAGGGTTTCCTTCGACCACTCCAATCAGGCAGGGGGCCAGCGGCCGACAAGCAAACGCTGGCTAACAAAGCTATGCTTGTCGGTGGATGCACAGTCTGATCAACTGTGTGTACCTGCGACCAACTTTTGCACAAGCTGTCCAATCTGATCGGTTTGCTTTCATGGTCCTTCATGCTACCACCCCCAAACAGGTTTCTTTCAGCAGCTGAGCCGCCGATCGTCCGCAGATGTGCAGCGTTTGTTCAGCAGAGCGAGGGAAACTATGTTAAACAATTCAAGTGATCTGACCCAATCACCATGCCGTTCCACCGCCATCCTTCCCATCGGGAAATTGAGCTAACTGAATACAAATTGTCGAAGTGTGTTTTCTCCACAGTTGTGCATCATGATGCATCCATCAATCCGATGTTGGATCAACAGGTCACCTTCACCTTTTCCGACGGCTAAGCCGGGGCGGGCCCCCTCTCCGATCCCCGACGCCCGCGGAGAAAAGCGGTCCGCCCAGGCTCCATCGGCGATGGTGAAGAAGGAGCCGTTCAACTGCATGTTGAAGAATCTCACGTCCATCAAGCAGGCCTGCTCCTGGAGTTTGGGTAGGCTTTTGCTTGCATGTTACGGGCTGTTTGGCTCAAACACCGCCGACTGGTCTTACTTTGGATTCCTCTTTGCGGAGGTTCATCCGAGTCTGACGCCCACACACACCGGCTTGTGTGGTGATTGGACGGTATGGGTTCCCCATGTTTTAAGAGTTTGGATTCAACATGATTCAACATAGACCCTTGAGACATCTTAAGACTACAGGCCTCCACATGGGGCTATTTTGCATCATCCAATTGCTGAAGTGCTGAGGTGGCAGCCGGAGAACGACCATTCTGTCCACTACTTTCAACACGTCAGTGTCTCTTCACTTGAGGCCGTCTTCAGGCGGCCGGGGCTCCTGAAACCAGAAGGCCATGCAGTTGTAGACGCCTGGGACCGGGTGAACGTCGTAGATACACATGGTCACATGATGTCCCATGGGTAGGTATTTAATGGTATTTACATAAGGAGACCCGGAACCAATGGGTCGACTGGTCTATTTTCCTTCTTCCAAGGGGTCGTTGGGAGGTCTCCCATGATGTCCATTGCGTTTGACGAGGGGATCAGGATGGATGGTGAAGATATACAGCTTCAGAGTCGATGACACTGGCACCCCAAAGAGGCTTTTTAGATGGGGTCCATATAAAGCACCGAACTTGGGGATTGCGCCAATCTATTCTGAAACCACTGTAATTGTCCGGTGACTCTTCTCTCGTCTGGTCCAATCTTGCGAATCTTGTCGAGAAGTCCTCGAGACAAACACGCACTGACGTCAGTGTAGCCACCTCCCAGCCAACGTCCAGGCCCAGTCTTAACTTTAGGTGAACCGCCGAAACCATCCGCACCAAAGCCCAACAAAAAGACATACCACGTCTTGGCACATGCGTGACGCGCGTGACGCGAGCGGGACGACACGCGTGACGTGCCCGTGTCGTAGACGCGCCAAGCGGCTGTTGAAGGCCAAGTTTACGGCGGCGAGGGTTGGCATGACACGCAGGAAGTCTGCCGTCTGCTGCCGGGTCACATGGCTATTCCGGTGGGCGGTACTTTGCACCCACCTGCAGCGTGGAACAGGGGACAAGAACGGGGATGGGCTCCATCAACACATGGTGTTGGGAATGATTCGGGTGCTCCAGGTGATTAGCGCTTCTGAACCAAGTCCCCCTCGTGTCCACACAACCAATGCCGATTGAACAGTTGAAGTCTTGCTCAAACAATTTTGGTTGACAGGTGGTCTGGTCATTCAAAGCCAGTTGATCCTTCAAAGTCCAGCACGTCACAAACTTGTCCTTAGATCGGGACCACTTGGTTGAGACCCTTCCAACGTACTCCAAAATCCAGCTTGAAAACCCAACCACAACAAATCCAGCATAAATACGGCCACATCTGCCCAAACTCCGCCCACACCCAAGCAATTTATACACCTACGGCAACGGCCACATCTGCCCCAACTCCGCAGGAGGTCGTTGGTTTCTACCCCTCGATTCGCCCCACACGGACGGACCTGGTCCGATCAACTCACAGAGATCGGACGACCGGTCACGGCATCGGATGCACCGAGATGCTCCAGGTTCCCACAGCCATAGGTGGCCAGCAAGAGACCGCTCAAGACCATCAGTGCACCAAAGAGGCCCAGCGATTCCGTGGGGCTCAAGGAAATGATCACCGTGAGAAGTAAACCCAGCAAGAGCAAGGGCCAACCTGAGTGGATGACACTGCTAGGTAGCAGGAGAAGTCGATACTTGGATGTGGATGTGGAGGTGGTTTTGCTGTTGGATTGCTAAAGCACGTGGGAGCACTTGCCAACCTGAGGGTTCAGCTTCTTGAGTTTGGGCACACAACTTGGTGGCAGGAATGGGGGGAATGATCATGGTGTGGTGTGTGGCATGGACCCGCCCAAAAAACTGCGAACTCCATTTGGTAATTTCGTAGTTTCTCCCAAAGTCTGATGCCGACCTGTTGCCCGGCCTGTCCAGTAGAGGCTTTTCGACAAAATGGTTCTCCCGGTCTTACGCGTCTCGGTGGCCGAGTGGGTCGAGTGGCCCAAGCAAATGGCCCTGGCCCGGTTGGAGCCTTCGAAGGCCGCGGAGACCACGTGGAGCACCACGCCGCGGATCGCGTCGCCCAGGTGCCGGTGGAGACACCTGGCGGCGAGGTGCTCCATGGACCTCCTGGTGTTGTGCTTCCCAAGCGACACCGAGTAGGATTGTTCGCCCAGGGGGTGCCGTTGTCCAGAAGCTGCGAGAAGTAGGAGTAGGATGGAGTAGGCAGTAGGAGTCATGAGATGTTTTGAGATGTTCTTCATTATATTGGACACATTTGATAGCCTTTGATAAGGGTAGATAACTATACAGAAATCGGAACAATTTTCAGATACTGGGCGCAATGTAGGGGCATTCATTAACATGGATGAACATGGCATGCTGCTGTAGTATTGAGCAATGCTGCATATGCCCGTTTTCCAAAATCCTCAATCAGGTTAATTTATTGACTAGTGCCTTTGGGTCCAATGGCAGAGCATGGTTTAAAAAGGCATCCGAGGTTACAAAAACCAGCCCATGCATGGTTTTCTGGAGAGCGCCCGTGCATCCATGCCATTCCCACAAAGCCCCAGGTCGAAGTCTTTGCCTGTAGCTGCTGCTGTAGCAAAGGAACACGGTCAAAGCGACCTTGGTTTGGCATTCAGACTGGCATTCCGCTCTTGAACTACGGAGTACGTAGCCCTCTAGGAAGCAAATGAAGCAGCAAAAGGTCAAGCACCTCAAATACCAGCCATCGATTCATGAGACATCGCCGCTGAATTCGCGACATACATGCGCACATCCAAAAAGATGGCCCTGCACCACCATACACACCTCCTCCGCTTCGTCCGTCCAAAACGCGAAGCAACGTTCCTCCGTGGGACGCACATGGAGGTTGCCGCAAGGAAGTAACTGGTGGCATAGCCCAAGTCCTTCGGCACCAGCCCAGGCAACCCGCTGGAGCACAAGGTGGTGAGGAAGCCTTGGATGCGAATACCCGGTGACGCCGGTGGCGCCCCGACAATATAGCCATGGGCGCAGTTGACCATCGATGATGACGGGTCAAGCGTGTTTGTGTTTTGAGATAGGAAGCCATAGGAAAGCAGCACGCCCACGTTGATGGACATATAGAAGTACCTCGCTTGGCGAAGACGGGCACACGCGGCACAACGCCAACATGTCGTAACATAGTTTTGTGTGGTCGAGTTTGTGATACATAAGCAGGTCTGGTGCCTAAGGGCCAAAGGACCAAGTGGCCGAGTAACCATCCGGCGGCCCCTTAATTACCACGTCCTCTATAGCCTCAAAGGTGCCTATATAGATGGGGCTGCAAGACTTGCAAAGGAGACTTGCCCCCAAGCCAACAAACGAGACTTCATGAACTTGTGAGAAGTATTCCATTCAGTCTGGGACCCAGCCCAAGCGTGGTAATTAATTGAAAAGAACACACAAATTTCAGCGCTCTCTGATCGGAGCTTGTTCACCAACGACTTGATTCTGCTGTTTGGTGCAGCCAACAGACCTAGCGTGGTTGCACAAGAGGTTGCCCCAGAAAATCCCCTGGACCGCAGGAAATAAAGCGGCAGTGTAAACCACCGCACGAGATAAGGCCGCCATCTACATGTTGGGCCCTTAATGAATGAAACACCATCGCAGGTAGTTGAAGCCCCAGGCGTGTGAACTTCCTTTGCGTCGCCCAAGCCACGTGTAGAACTCCTCTCGCGCCTTTCGGCCCGCAGCACCTGGATCGCAGCTTTTTCTGCTCAGCTTGTTCCAGGTTCCAAAAATGCCAAAGAGACCTTCTGATTTGGGGAAAGCAAACATGAAGTTTGTAGAGGACAGGTCTGCTCCAGGTTCACTCCAAATGAGGCCATTGACCGCACCGCATAGCATCTCCGATTCCGCGATTCCGCAAATCTCTCTCACACCAGCCACCAGGTGTTCAAGACATTGTCTTCTATGAGCGGACCAGTCGAACTCAAGACAAAACCATGGAGTTTGAGAGACATATTCCACCCCAAAATGAGGTGGAACAATTCCAGCTCCCAACTTTAAAAAAGAGTACAACTAAAATCAATTTTCAAACGACATATTCCAAAATTTTGTTTAAAGCACATTCATGGACACTGGCTTTTCAACGTGTCTTGGGCCTTGGGCTTCGATGCGCCTTGCTACCTCGTCCCAAAAAAACCACCCAAACCCACCCCCGTTCTCCCGTTCCGTCCGTCCCAAGCGGCTGCGGGAGTCGAACTGATCGGCGCCGAAGTTGGAGATGTTCGGCTTGATGCCGCCTGGCACCCGCCGAGCCGGAGCGTCGAAGCGGTCCGTTTCGGCCATCGCATCGTTCGGAACGTCGCGTTCGCTTCGGTCGTATCGTTCGCTTCGGGTCGGGACCAAAATCCGATCGACAAACGATTCAACTGGGGAAAAGAGGGATGAAACGCACGACGCCTCCGTCCCTTTCTGGTGGAACACGCCCGGTGGAGGGCGAATGTTCCGAAGAACGCTGTTCTGTGAACGGTGGAAGGGGCATACCCAGGACATGAAGGTAGATGGCAAAGAAGAAAACCATTTCAGTAGGTCCTTGATGGTGGATTAGCTGTGTTCTCCGGGTGCAAAGCTCTTGGTCTCTTGTTCCCAACGAGGTGTTGGAGAAACCAAAGTCACCAAATGAATCCAAATGATAAATGAGAGGTCCAAATATCTGCCGAAAAAACAGCCTCGTCCCTTCTGAGTCAATTCATCCACTGATTTGCGAGCTGATGATCAGGAATCAGGACGCTTTGGCACCAAAACATGATTTCGCGCTGGATCTTGACTTCATCACCACTATAATCACCCCAGAAAAACACCAGCCATCTCATGCCATATATCTACTACATGACCGTCCCCTTCAAAAAGGACACCACTGTCACCAGACTCACCAGGTCGGTTCTGGTCGGTCTCGGTCTCCTGTGCCCAGCGCCAGGAAAACCATGGACCCCACGAGGTAGGTCGTGGCGTCCCGTGTGGGGCCCGGGAGCGCTGACACGGCACAGGTGAGCACCTCACGACGAAGGGGATGGGCGGGGATGGATGGATCCAAAGGGCCAGCGCCATGGATGCTGTACTACGTGTCCTTTTTGTTTTTCATCTTAAGTTATAGATGCCTGAGACCTGTGCACAAAATGGATTTCTGTGGCCTAAAAGTCAAGTGGACTCAACAACACATTTTGGCCCAGTTCCATTGCCAACTGCTTTCTTCTAGTAAAGCATCCAATGTGTTCTTCCAGATCGATCCCTGATCTCGGCCAAGACACTCCGACCAAGTAGCACACCGTGAAGACCCAAATGGTGTGGTATCTGCCCAAGAAGGCATCTGCCACATATCCTCCAGCCCTCAGTTGATGAAACTCTCCTCAACCTTTGCTTTGAGGGAGAGGGCATGTAGTAAGGTCCTTGTAGTTGGAGGGATCATTCCCAAGCGATCTTTGACTTCAGGTCTCTCAACCGACAAGGTGGTTCTCTTGGACGATGTGCTAGGGGAAACTCGATGTGCTGAGTGTGGTTTTCACTGACGCACCGCACCCAGCTGGAACAAAACCTGTTCGAGACCAGGGTAACTCTCTGAGCCCTGAAAGAGCTGCGCCACACCTGTTCTTCAGGTGCTTTGTTTGGGGGGGTCAGCCTGTATCCCAGAAACACAGTGACTATCATCCATGTATCGCAGTCCAAAGGGATCCATGCATCTTCTTTCAACCATAGCACTTATTTACCTGCCAATGCTAGTAACAAAATCTCACCTTCCTTCACGCAGCCTGGGCCTTCCACACGGAGCCAGGAGATCCCTGTTTGCAAACAAGCTACAAAGGCCACATGTAGCCTGAGGGCAGCGACCCGGTGGGCTCGGTGGACACAACGACGGCTTTTTCGGCAGCGAGAGACGGACGTGAAGCCTGTAAGGAAGCCGCCCACGATGGCCACTTCCGCAAGAAGCTTCCGTTCCTCCCCTCAATACACACAGTTCTTTGGATGGTTTGAGTATATAGCAGCAGCACAAACCCCAGTTTGAAAAGGGGCAGGCAGAAACGCACTTCGAGCATGGCATAAAACCATCATAAAACCATGGTCCGCCCAGTGGCACAAGGTGGTAAAGGCCGAGTTCAGCCCGGCACCTCAACGGAGCGAACGCGACGAAACGCCGAGCCGACGGCCTGGTGCCTCCACGGAGGGATGGACATGTTGGCATGAAATCACCGTGCTGGACAGCTACGTATGTGTTTTTTCTTTTTTAATCATGATCAAATTTAGACAAGCAGATGATGAAGTAGCTTCTTCGCCCCCCACACACGTATCATATAGATCATGCACATCATACATCAATTTTTGTATAGAAATCATCCGTGAACACAAACACTGGAACATGGATGAACACGGTGTTTCTAAAATAACAGCGTTGTGAGGGGGTCTCGTCATGTCGTGGTGTGGGTCTCCTTCCACGTCATCCGTCTTCTCGAACGGTCTACGTTCGGTGCGGTGGAGCGAGCCAACGGCTGCATACGTACAGCGATCCAATTGGACACAGCATATAATATTGGCTGCTTCGGTTGATGGAGGCCATCGCAAGTAGGTTGGAGGCCATCGCTATTAGATTCCTTTAAGCTATTAGATGCTTCTCTTTTGCTATTAGCTTCCAAAGGGACCAAGCTCAGAATCGCCCACTGCCGCACCATCCCGAAGCCCCCTGGCAGGGCACTTTCCTGAGCCCCATAGCCCAAAGTCTCCAGGAAGAACTCCTGGCTCCCAGCCAGGGCCTCAAGGCTTCGAGCATGGAGGGTGCGACAACAACAGCTGACACCTGATACACTATAACATAGCCATCACCTGGGCAAGACCATCTTCCAAGACCCGGGGCTTTCTAGGTGATTAGGAGATGATGGAATCGGCTATAGGGTCCATGTGGTCCCCCGAGTCAGCAACGTGTCAACTCGATGCTAAGCTTTTGACACATGGGCGGCTCGTCGCCTAGTGACCGGCAGGCGCCTCTCAGCACCCTGCTCCCCCGCGACCGCTGCGACATGCCGCCCTCCTACGACGTCCATCACCTCTGCGTTTGGCTCCGAAGGCACGTAGTAGCAGGTCCGTTCGGCCAGCTCCACCACCAGAATCGCTCGGCACACCGCGTGCAGCGCCGCGCCCTCGGGGCCTAGTTTGTCAGACGGACTGGGACCGGGAGGTAGTGAAGCGCGCCACGGCTGGATGAAGCAGTCAGCTTCAACAGTGACCTCTGTAATTATATGTTTATGTGTGTAAGTGTGTGTGTATTATATATATATATATACAATACATATATGTACCATATATCTTTAGATCCTTCTCTATCATCATACTATAGTGTATCTAGGGCCTTAGATGGTCCAATGGTTGCTCCTCAAAACGTATCAAAAGCGTCACATTAGACTGCAGCTACTCCTGGGACCACTCCGATGTTGGTCCCTTTTTTCACTCATTTTCCCCTCAGAGTGCTCTGCGGCCATCAACACCTTGAAGTCGGCAGGAATCGTTTTTGCATTCACCACACAGGCAGGATTCGTGTTTTCGTGGCTTTGGGGGAGGCGCTTTGCTGCGCATTGCTGCAATTGCTCTGCCCGGCCCTGCCCACCCTGTCCCAATCGCTGGCGTTCGAACCTCGCCTGTGAAGGTGCGCCGCTGGGTCGAATGCCCCTGCTCTGCAGCCAAAGCCCGGTATGATGTCTCCTAAGTGGCCAGGAACATGGAATGAGCCTGAAGTGTTCTGACGGGCGCATTGCTCAGCTTCACTCACTTCAGATATACATGTCACCACATGTGTCACACTGTTGCCTTTTCTTAAAATAAAATAGCAACTCCGTACCCAGGTTGCCCCTCAAAAGCATCCAACAGTCGGTTGTTTTCTGGCGCGGTCGGCGACGGACCGCCGGTTCAGCTTCAGTTCCTGATTTGGTCCAGCCGGTGGACAGCAGTGAGCTCTCGTGTTGGACGCCCTCTGCAGAATTTATTGCTGGTCACTCTCGATACCAATACCCTCAATACCTATACCTTCCCATAACTGCCCATAGCCCTCAGCATAGGACACTGACAAGCAGGTGGCAGGGAGCCTAAGAAGTGGATATCCTCCGGATTGGCCCATTGAATTCTGTGCCCCCGATATATTTTTTGCAGGATGCCCCTGAGCGGACCATTTCTTGGGTGAGCGGTTGCTCGAAAAGGACAGTTACACATCAATCTCAGAACTTCTGGGAATTGAGCAAGTCAATCATCATGCAGAACTTTCTTGAGTTATATATAATGTTGCACGTCAACATCTATGGAACCCATCGTTTCGAGGGTGCTGATATATTTACTAGACGACGAGTGGCCCGAAAGCATTTTTCATCACGTAGGAAGTCAGAGTGTGAGTTAAGTGTTCAGTGTGAAGTGTTAAGTCGAGTGAGTTGAGGCAGTGTGTGGGTCTCTGTGTGTGTGTGTGTATCTATGTCTGTGTGTGTATGAGTCTCTGTCTGTGACTCCGAGTAAGTTGAGGCAGTGCGTGGGTCTCTGTGTGTGTGTCAACCTTTTAAGAGAGGCGGGTGGTCGGGAGACATGACTCAGCTGCAGGGGCGCCAGAGCAGCTGCGAGAGATGACTCAGCCGCGAGAGATGACTCATCCGCGTACTAAAGTTGCACTGCAAAGTCACCAGTTCTCAGCTTCCAGCTCCCCAGATACTCCGTACTAAAGTTGTACTACAAAGTCGCCAGTTCTCATCTTCCAGTTCCCCAGATACTCCGCGCACTAAAGTTGTACGACAAAGTCGCCAGTTCTCATTTTCCAGCTCTCCAGATACTCCGCGTACTAAAGTTGTACTACAAAGTCGCCAGTTCTCAGGTTCCAGCTCCACAGACTGCTCCACGTACTACAGTTGTACTACAAAGTCACCAGTTCTCATCTTCCAGCTCCCCATATGCTCCGCGTACTAAAGTTGTACTACAACTTCGCCAGTTCTCATCTTCCAGCTCCCCAGATACTCCGCGTACTAAAG